ATGTATGTATGTATGTATGTATGTATGTGTATATGTGTGTATGTATATAAGCATGCATGTATGCATGTATATGAGTGTGTAGATGCTTGTATGTATGCACATATGTATATGTATATGAGCCATTTATTAAGGTATACTTTTTGACGACTCCAGGTTGGAGAATGGGGAAGGCCAGGTTCGATAGCTTTTCTCAGATCATCTCAGTTAAAATGATGAAAATTCAATTTTGAACGAGCCTAATGTTGACTTTGACGCTGTAGGTGAGTCAATTCGATCAGATGACTGATGTAGGATTGTGTGGGTATGCATATCCGGAGCGATCGGGGGTCATAAAGACGTCTCTGCCTAATGACCAGACAGCAAAAGGCGACTTCAGACTAGCAGCCCCACGCCTCAAAAGGTGTGACTGGCGATCTCGGAGACAGAAAGTCGAACTGCCCCACTTCATTCCCATCCTACGACCACATCGACTCACCTTCCGGCACTTCGTCCGACTCTACTTGTGGGCAGCCAGAGTATGCGCACCCAAACCACTTTGTCAGTCATGCTTAGGGCCTAATTAACTTATGAAGCTTTATAATCGTGTTCTCTCAGTGTCATGGCTACATTAAGAATCAGAATCTGCTGCGATGAGACAATTTTATTGAGGCGAGATACATGCCATTAAGGTCATAGAGGGTTCCTGGCCTGAATGCAATGTTCTATATAATCTAAGAACGTCTATAGTACAAATGCACATATTTCTTAGCGTGTCTGTAAAAATGCTCGGAACCGACAAGTTGGCTAGATTTGACAGCCAGTTTTACGGGTAGATTGGTCAACTACCTAATGGTTTTTTACTAGGCCCATGTAAGCGTAAGGGTGTATGCATGAGCCTAAGAACCAATCTATGTATGGAGGCAGACATGCATGTCTGCAGAAATATTTGTGCGGTTTTGTAGTGATATGTGCAAAAGTGTCACATGCATCTTGGCCATCTTAATATCAGCCAAAATGCTGGAAATCTCGATTCCAACAAATCAGATGGAGTTATCATCCTACCACATCGTCCTGACACTTTTGCTGCCACCCCCAGTAACCTTATCACCTCGCCTAATTTGTGATTGAGGGTCTTGGAAATCAAATGTGAACGTGGACTCTCAGACGGAAGGGTGCTAGAAGCTATTTGATGGAACGACCCTTTTTCTGCATTAACCGGCCAAGCATATGCATCCTTGTGCCGTTTTCCTGTGCCCGGTCTGGCGTAGAACTGAAGTCAACCCTACTTGGGCTGGGGTGAATGGTACACGAGGTTGTTGAAATAGTCGAAAACAGCTTGATGGATGGCCCGCGAGTGAGCTCAGAGTCGCAGATCACTCGAAATGTGTGAAGGCAGGCAAATGGGATATTTTGATGTATGCATGTGTGTATGTGCCTTCGCGTAGGCACGATGTATGTTTCGGTACGCTCGAGAGTATGCATGCATGCATGTATGTTTGTGTGAATATGTATACACGTGTGCACGTAGGTGTGTTGGTAACATTTGAATGTATGACTATGTGTGTATATATATATTTGTGTGTGTGTATATGTGTGCAGAGGTAATGGAAGGGTTGAAGGGGGCTGCCTTGATTTCCTTGACCCAGTCTGTGGCGCATTTTTGGTGGGTGGAGCAGAAGTGGGAGAGGGGAGAAAAGAATGGACTCTTCGGTAGAATGGCTCCAACGGCACTGGAATTGTCGTCACCTTCTGGAGTCTCCGACTAAGACTAGACTAATCACTCCGGCAGATGCCTCGGACTACAATTAATACGATATAGGTTCCGTCTATCCTCAAGCCCACTATTTCCCCAGCGCCGACCCAACAACCGGATTCATCTTTTTATACAGCCAAGACGGGAAGTCTTCATGGGTCCAGACCAAGACTATGAGACGAGTGAAGATGTCAAAGATGCGGAACACGGCACTGCGTATGGGTTCACGTGTGCCTTTTTTTGTCTTCTATTAATTGATACCTGCCCTTGATCGCAACATTTGGGTTCCTACTCAGCCACCAAGTCATTGCTTTCATGCTCTACGCTTGCCAGAATTTACTTAAAATTGCAGCTTTTGCGCCTTAATTGCAACTCAATCGTAACTTAGTAAAGACTACAAATTTTTTTGTACCCGCCTAATTATGAGCATATTGCTCGTCCGAAATAGAGAGAGAGAGAGTGCCACCAAGTTCGATATATCTGACGTATTGCTGAGTTAGAATAAAGGTTTGTAGAAAATGTAATTTACAAAATGATACAAATTACATCTGGACACAAGCAGCAGCCCTGTTTGCTTGCTTTTCTTTTATGCTGTTGTTGGCGGGCGCGAAATCTACACCGAAGGAGAGTGTTTTCTCAAATCCAGCACCCAGAATAGGGTAATGCTCACCTGCACTTGCACCGCCTTCTGAAGTGAAGCCAGCCAATAATTGTTTCTTCTTCTTGATAAGAAAATAGTTTAAGGAATCTACATGAAAACAAAATCTTTCTAACAGACAACAGATGGAATCTCATCGTAAAGGTGCCGAAGGAAGGAGTTGAAAAGTAACTTCTTTCGTTGTACAGACTTGTTTACAACTTGTTTCATCAAACGAGTTTTGTTTTCAGAGCGAAATCATTTTGACGATTTATAGTTGGTTGCTGGGTCTGACAATGCTCACTGTTGTTGCTGAGGCCTATGAGGCCGGCGAAATGTCTGGGAGTACAAAAATGCACAGTAACTGAGTATTTGCCAGACAAAAACTCAAACAACTTCTTTCTATTGTGACTATCATTATGAGAATTAATGAGCCGACGGAAGAAAGAGCAATTGTACCCACTTTTTCATAATGCTGATGTGTAATGAAGTGACTTAAGTTAGACAGAATTCTTGAGGCAGAAGCTGAGAATATAAAAAATCTCGCTTTTTTATAATCCTCGTATATTTTATAATATCTAGATTAACCAATATTGTACCCTTATTAGCTTGGTTTGTCCTTATTTTATACCTTTAGTCATGCCTACAGGGCGACTTCGAGGGACTTACTCAGTAGTGTTTCCTTTTTATTTATTGTCAGCCAGTCTTCTAGCACGGTATTGATTCCTAGGAATGCATAATTCGATGTTCCTCAAAGTTGCGATAAATCATATATTTTCCATGAAAAGCTATTAAACCATAAATGTAACCCCTTAGTCTTGATTCGAAATGGGTGATTTGGTGCAATTTCGAAATAGCAACAAAATACTAGAACAAGATAAAATATTTAGTTTATTGGTACAGTGTTTCTATTCGAAGGAGAATGTGTGACGAATGGACTCGACCCGCTTTACTGCCAGATGAGGCCAAAACGCTGGCCAAATTGCAAGTTCCTCGAGCCACTGCAGGCAAAGTGTATTAGATGAAAATGGTAGAGAATGATTTTGGGGACATGTTTGTCAAAGTTTCCCTGAAAGCACCACCTAAACACGAATACCAGTCGAGGGAGGCTGCATCATAGATTTTTCGTTTTAAGTCAGCCGTTTGCTTGCAGTTGCTTTACACTTTTGGATGGTGCCGATTTGTCGTCGATGCATCGAATTCCGCTGGGAGTGCTGATAATGTGATGAGAAGACGTTCTGACTGCCATTTACTCCGGAAGAGTGTAATCAAAATCAGGCCTCCTCTTCAAGCCGTAACGGTCAGAATCGCTGTCAGTGCTAAACATGAACATCAGCTTAAACTGGTATTGTGTGCCTCGACGTTCCCATTTCGAATGACAGGTTGGCTGAATCTGAGTCAAGGGTCGGCAGAACCGATTATCGAAGGATTGT